AAAAAAAAAAGTTACTTCAGGATACAAATTAAATACATAAAATACTTGGTTGTTTGCAGATGATGTTATTTCATTGATCTGTTTGTCAATACATGCCAGTATGACTAGAGGTGTATGTGTGTTTGTGTTTGGCATTGAAGATTGAACCCAGGGGTACTTGACATCTGACCTAAATTCCTAGCCCTTTCTATTTGAGACAGGAGCTTGCTAAGTTGCTGAGGCAGGCCTGAAATTTGTGGTCCTCCTGCCTCAGCCTCCAAATATCTATGATTACAGACATACACCACCATGGCTAGCCCCAATAAGATTTTCAGTTACTTGAGTATGTTTTATGCTGTAAATATGTTAAAGGAAAGTATAAAAGAACATTTTTAGTCTTAAAGTAAGGTCAAAATGTTCCTTTAGCAAGATATGGAAACACAGAAACTATAAAGGAAAATAATAACAGAGTCAACTTTTAAAAATTTAAATGCTTTGGCATGCACAGGGCCCTGGGTTTGATCCCCAGTACCACAAAAAAAAAAAAAAAGAAAAAAGAAATCCTTTGAAAAAAAGATACCACAGAGTTAAGCAACAAACAGGAAGAACATGTACACCATGGGATTGATGTCCAGATACAGTACTCCTATAGAATAATATAAAAATAAACAATCAAGTAAGGAGGAAGTCACACCTTATATTTGCCTTTAGGTACATATCAGACTTTAGTAATATCCAATCTTGGCCAGGGTATAGGAAAATAAGTATATATACATTAGTCAGAATGAAAACTGGTAATCTTTTTGGAGGGTAACTTGGCAGTATCAACAATTGTAATGCATATGTCCTTTGACCCAGAATACTTCTAGGTAATCTCATGTTTCCTAGAGAAATGTGCAAATGAGAATAAAGAATAACATGTAGCAGTGTACATGGAGACTGATCCCAAGTGTTTTTAAAATATCATTTTTATTTGTACTTAAGGATATAAGTAACTGGATAGGAAAGGGTCCAAAAAGGTATGGAATTAATTAAATTTTGACTGCTGGAAAGCTGTCAACCAAGAAGTGTGGAATTGAAACAGAAGACTTCTGTATAATTGAATTTTTTTTTTTTTGTG